TATCTCATAAGGAATGACTCCATCTTTCCACAGTCTTCCTCTATGCCCCGTGGCTGCTCGCCGTAACCTTGAKTGGAAGCTTTCAATAGCTATGTCTCCTTGAACAATACGAGCTAAAAGATGAACGAATTGCATAAGTATGAACAAAACGTTTTTTTTTTTCGAAAGTAGTCCATCTCTTGACTACAATAAGTAATTAACATAACTGAAATGACTGTATATAGCTATAATATAGCTCCCTAATAAAGATTCGGACAACACAAAACGAGGGAGAAAGATAGCTGTAGCGACAGCAGTAGAATTTTGTAAAGAAATAGAGCGAAATATGGCAAGCTTAGAAGAAAACCAAGAGAGGCCGAAGTAAGTGAATGTTAGGAAGAATCAATCTGCGACAAACTGACTCGAAGATTGTTTAGTATACCGTGGACAAAAGCCTGTATGCAACTTCAAATGCCAAATGGACACATTATCCCATAATTACTGAAATAAATAGATTAAACAATGTGAAAGAATTGGCAGACCTCAAAAATCGTATTTTGAGCGTTTAACCCTATTCAGGACTTGTCAGTCTTTTTTGCAATTCTGTATCTTAGGAACCCACAGATCTATGACCATAAGGTTTTCACACAATGATCGCCCACATAAGACGAACTACCACACCAAGAAATTTTGACTCGTGGGAACTAAATGTGACGTCATAATGACATCGTTTATATCGCTTTAATGTTTATTAATGGATTTTAATAAACTGCCTAGACAATGCCATAGAGAATGCTGTGAAATCATCTCTTTACCATTGAAAAGAATTGGAAATAATATATTTTTTTAATTGAGCCCCGTTCTATATGACGTCACAATGACGTCATAGATATTAGATAATTTTTACAAATGATATATCAATATCTTGATAATCATTTTCAAATTTAAAAATTTATATCTAGGCGTTACTACTCTCCTGTGACATTATAATTTGTTTTGTATCCATGGTAACAAGCGTGACATAATTGCGTGTCTTTGCCATCTTCGAATAAATTGACTTCAAATCTCCTAGTTCCAATTTGGCGGATTTTATGGCGCCTTGAAATTGCTCACGTCGTTTGTGCTCTCGAGGTCGAAAAAAATAAACTTATACGAAGTAAAAAGTGAAAAGTGCACACGCTCTGACACGTACGCCTAATGGGCGGGTAGCATGAGCGGCTTGAACTTCCTTATAAAAACCCAAGGTCACAYACAAGCGCACGACAGCGACATATGATCATATAGCTACTGGAATAGCCGTACTATTCCCAAATAATTTTTTTTTGGCGATTCTTTTATGATYCCATCAATATTGACCCTGTTGTAACGTGAGTACCAATTTCCTTCACACCATCTGTTTTTTCACAAATGCCAGCAAGTCGCCCACTCGAAGTCGAACCATACGTTTTGGTACAAAAAAAAAACTACTTGGACTAATAGAAGGGGTTGAAAAAATTAAGTTCCAATTAAATCCTGCAGTCTACATTTTTAAAACCATGTTGTTGCTTAGCACCGCGAGTGGATCGGCCGAGTTTGAAGATAAAAACTGTAGCATACGCTTTTAGCAGATGTTGCTTTGATTTTGAGAATTTTATTTCTTCGGCTTGCTCTGGCAAACAGACCCTCAAGAGGCTCTCGCTGTTTCCGTTGCTAGGGAAGATTGTGAAAACGATTTTCACAATGTGGGTTTCCTGTGTAATTTGATAAGGAGATTATCAACAACGATATTTGTCCTCAAAATATTACTCCATGATTTGTAATCTCGGTACAAATCAACAAAATCCATGAAATATGTTTACATATACATAGTGCATTTGCACTGAAACGGTCAAAAAAGAGTTTAAGAATTTTAAAGATTTTAATGCATGAAACACCSGTGAAGTACATTATTATGAAATGATTCTATACTATAACCTTTTCGCCTTGGATTTGTCAAACTAAAATCAGAGATAACATAATTTTAAACTTGCTTCTTTGCGACGTTTGTTAATTCATTAAGCAAATTTGATCTTTGTTGGCATAGGCTTCATAACGATTAGAGATTGAATTCCTTTGAGTAACGACAGCATCTGTGAATACCAGACTKACTACTGTTGTCACATCATGATATAGTTAATATATTCCAATACCATTCATATATCGATGAGTTTGGGATACTATAGATCGGGAGAAACGCCAATCAATATAGAGAAGTATATACCCATTGTTTCGATTATGATCGAGTTCCGATCGGTTCTACCTAAGTTTGAACTTCCCGTGAGGTAGTGAGGATGTCCTGCGCTTCGATACGAACTATTTCGAAGCAATGGAGGTTAATTACCGTCTCAAGAGCGGTATATATTGCTGATACAAGTCTCATTCAATGATATCGTACCTGCTTTGCATGGATCGTAGTCCTCGTCATCGCTGGACACGACAATAACCCAAATAACGAACAAAGAATTGTAAAGCAATTGCCTTGATGTCCACATTTCCCAAAAAGTAAAATATCACTTAAGGATTGAGCTGAGAATTTTGTTGTGTTGTAGAGCGCTCTCTGCTCTCTGCTTTGTGATATAGTTAGATGTGATTTATCCTCTGACTACGTCATCACCTCACAGTCGCGATTCTTTCAGCACTTTGTCTGAGCAGGGCACAGAACCGTTTTGCCAACAACGTTTCCGCAAATAGCAACCATGAAATATTTCACAAATGTAGAGTCTTTGGCGACGAGAAAATAAAAATAGTCGGCATTATTTATTAGCGTCGCTGTCCGGGGACTAGTGCCAAGTCAAAATATGCACCTTTTCAAGGGTAAAATATTTAGACTCTTTCGGTGCAGAGCATGTAAAACCAGAGGGTCTCAATGGGGTGGTACGCATCACGACTCACGGCTAAAATTTGGCGATTTCACGACTCACGACTAATTTTTTCGAATCACGGTTAACYAGATTACTTTTAGRAATTTTTGAATTACGTTTTWCATTGCTTTTTCTTTTTTCGTATGAATAGACTGCTGACTTATTCGTACGGACATGGATTTTTCTATTTCAAATAAGCCGAAATGAGACTCAATTTCCACGAAAAAATGATTAATCATAAATTCATAATACACAAAAAAAATCCAAAAAGTATTAAACATAGCAGGTATTGAGAACATAGTAGTGACATTGCTGCAGTCCGTGTCTGACATCGGAGTTTACGAAATTTCATAGCCTGCGTGCAGCCGAACCAAAACTTGTTGTTATGTTCGTGAACCAAAACTTGGTGTTATGTTCGACGAACATAACAACAAGTTTTGGTTCGGCTGCACGCAGGCTAGAAATTTCATTAATAAGTGTCGCTTTTCGMGATGATGTATTCTATGCCGGGCTAAATGTGCATGGTAAAATCAGGAAGTTTGTAGCGTATTCATATTATTATTTGACCCTAAACAAAATTATAGCGGAGCTCCCGCGCGACCGGAGCACCATAGCTAAGAAAAAATGGTATACCATCGAGTCGATTTTCCATGGACCGACACAGGGTTCCCTAGCGTACGCACGTTTCCTTCCGTCCGTCCTTCATTCCGTGTACCACCACAGGAAACCCATACTCCGCTCGAAAAGGAAACAAAGCGCCAAATATTTGTTGAATATCGAATTTTTTTCCTTAAACATTTATATTACATATTGATAATATTAGAACAATTAATAACACGGAAAAAATCCACAGAAGAGCGAAATAACAGCACAGAAATATTCCCGCCAATGTTTTCATAACTTGGACGCGCCCGCACATCCGGGAAATCGATTTGCGAAGATGAAAAGCAATTTAGGCCCATCTTAAAAGTGATATTAGAAAAAAAGGRTTTTACTTTGATATTTCGACAACAAGAAAGAGATGATACTTTATTGGAAATACTTCAATTATATGAACCAATATGGGAAAAAGCATGCGAAGTTCTTTTGTTGATTAAAAGTGTGGACATTTGGAAACCAAGACCATGCTAGCAGTTAAGCTTAGATGGAGAGAGATTAAAAACAAAGAATCGACACTCTTGAAAGACTTAATAAATTGATGAAACCTATGCTTGAAACAAGTATGGTTCTGTTGAAGATGACCTTTGAACGATAATTTATCGGAAGTTCGATAATGAAGGTAAAAAATATATTTTTGTACAGTTTTCTGTGATATGTGAAGTTCGAGTAGTACGGGTTCAAACATCGATTATTGAAACAATTTTGATTATTGTTTAAGGAATAAAAGACGAAATTCCGTGTTTGATACTCTGATCAAAACACGCGGGATGTAGGGAGAGCACGAGAGAAGCGTAGGAAACCACGACGCGTAGCGGAGTGGTTTCCAGCTTTTCGAGTGCTCTCCCTACATCCCAAGTACAATTTTCTTTTCTAAAATCAAAAGAATACGAAAATTGTAAAGAATTCTGACTTTTGATACGATATGAAACGAGCGTGTTTTGATACTGTAATCAAACATGGTTTTCGACCAATCACAGCGCGCGTAGTATCCTAAATATTTTAGAAAAAGTTATGTAGACTACTTTTTGCCGAGAAGCTTTCAGTTTACTTTAAATCAATTGACCTTTACAGATTATAATATTAAACTTCATCCAACGGAACAAAATCTACCGAAGTCAACAATAGTACGAACTAAATTCTCATAAACATACTCTTTCTTAAGCTAAAATTAATAAATATGTTTATAATATTTGTTCGCATGTCAACAAAACTGTTGTAACTTACATTCCTTAGAACAGAGCATCTACTTTTGAAATAGCAGTGCTAGATAATCAGATAATCATTTTCAACTTTATTGCTATTGGAGCTCCGCTATTAAGTGTTATCTAATTTTTATATTAGTATTTTAAAATCGATATCTTATATAATTAGTTGAAAATGTCAGATATATACCATGTCCGTACAAATAGCAAACGTAACTCGGACACTATGTTTAAAAATTGATTCTCGGTTGCGCAATCGCCGCGCTGTRAAAACTTATTATACGTTTAATGAAAACAAGCCAATGAAAGCGCGCTTTAAAATTTCACATTATAGAAAATATATAGAAGTAATTACTAAATGATTCTGCAGATTTTGTAATTAAACATTAATGCATAGGAAGCTAATTCAAAGACAACAACAAAAAGCAAAAAAAAAAGAAATATGAAAA